CTCACAGCATTGAAAAATTACATTTAAATCTCTCAAAATCTAACCTGAAGCTTTAAAACAGCCAAGGGAATAGTATGTTTCAGCGCTTGCCCACCCTTCAGCCTCCCACATTATTTTCAGTATGTATGCAAAGCAGATGAAAGTTAGAGTTTGGTTAGTGGGGCGGGAAGAAGAGGAATCTGCTTTAATAACACTGTAACATAGGAAGGGAATGAATTAACTGCCCCATAGCAGCAGACAGAGTCTACCTCACTGTCATTCACTACAGAGGTGTTCTGTGTCCATGAGGCCTGTTCGCCATGTGCTGGAGATGTTTCTGATTTGAGTTAAACACAGACAGGAAACCATATGTCTGAGCTCTCCAGCATTGCTACACAACCACACACATACGCACACACACACACAAACACACACACATTCAGTCTGAGACAGACACCCAAATTTTCTTCTCAGCACAGCGAGAGGCAGTAACCAAACACACAGCACAGAACAGAACTCACCCAACTGTGTGTCTGTGACCACACTGAGGATTCCCCACTCGTTGTTTACATGTGATGCAAACACCGCGTTTCCACTTCCTGTTTGTGATGACAAAGCACTCTCCATAAGACAGTAGCAACCATAATGGGACCTTAAAGCACACCCACGACTGAAATTCATGAACAGCTTTACATGCCAAAATACACACAGAGTTTCCTTGTCTGTGGTTGGAGCTCAAGTCAGAGAAGTAGGAGGAAGAGGGGGAGGGGGTGAGAAGATGACAACAAAGAGATGATTTACTGATAAATGAAAGAAAGTAGGGCCAAATAGACAAGTGGTTAAACAGAGAAAAAATGGCGAGGCAAAGAACGCCTGACACAAGATCTTGTTTGTTCATTAACATATGAGGAAAGGGTGGACTTGCGGTGTTAAACAAATGTTGGCAGTTTTTGATATACTGTGCAGCTGTCTGAACAGATAACAGGCTGATTTTATGGTCGGTCGACCAGATATGCTGTAACGGATGTGTGAACAATGTCAAAATGAACTTTAAAGCATTTAATAATAAAAAAATAACAGCTGATGGAATTAAGGGGGCCGAACAGAATTACTTCAGACTTATCATCGTTAAAGCATCATCATGATTGGGAGCAAACTGGCCAAGAGGCAGCATGTATATAGAAAGCAGAAGGGATCCAAAAACAAACCTTTTAAGGACACCACAACATAACTCAGTTGAAACCAGAATGAAAATAGTTAAAAACTTGATTAGAGTTCCTAAAAGAGACTGAGATGAGAAAAAGACAATTTCAAATTTCCTCTAAAAAATCGCAATGCGGTTTGCGATGTTCAAAGCAGTTCTTCAGGTGCCACAGGTACTGGCTATGTCCTCCATTCTAATCCAACCAACAACAACATTATGATTATGCGACATCCGCTGTAACCACTCAGCTCTAAAGGCACTCTGGAAACACAGTTGATGAGAGACTGAACCAAAACAGTTGTGGGTCGTAAAACTAAAACAATGAGCTGAAATATGCTAAAATGCACCACAGAGCTGTGGGGAAGTGCAGAGACAATTCTCTGTGGGTTTGTCAGTACAGTGATCCCTTTCACCTTACTCACAGTCAATTGATCCAAGGTTGAAATAAATATATTGATCAGTGCAGCTTTAACCTCATTAGAGCATGCTAGTTTTGTGTACTCACTCGGGGAGAATAACAGTACGTCGTTACACTCATCTTCTTCACTACAGGAGCAGAAGTGAGCCATCCCACTTGTCGTGTTCTTCTCCTTCATTACACAGGTGGAGCTGTTGTAGTCGTCCAGCATAACACCATACAGCGGCATGGACGGGTCATGGCAGAGCGTTTCGATGGAGAAGCCTGTCTCATTTTTCCTCCTAGGAGACAGAGAGAGCAGAGATGTAAAACATGTATACATTAGGAGCTGTCTAGTTATCTAGTAAATCACATCTAAGAGATGATTTCTGCTCTCAGGTACCTACCAGATAGCGACACAGACCTCGCTGACGTCCGTACAGATGGATGTGATGGAGCAGTTGGACATACATGTTCCTGTACCACTACAGGAGGAAAGCTCCAGATCACAGAACTTACAAAGCTGACGTATAGGGTAAAAAGAGGGCATACCTGCAGAACACACACAAAAGTATCCATCAGGTTGGCTTCATAGTTTCTAATTCCATCTTTATATATTTTTATTAATTTTTTTACTAATGTGCCACAATAATGTTTCTTGAGTTAAACATGTCTTCATTTGGGGGCTTTTCCAAGCAAATATTGATATATTTAAAGTAGCTTTGTGAATACGTTATTTACAAAGCTACTTTACATCTCATACTGTACACTCAGTAGGTTTGAACCACAGGACAGCACCAGCTGCCTGAAGTTAACCAGGTTAGGACCGCAAACAATGTCAACACAGACAACGACAACCAGGGCAACACCTCCACGGTGCTGCACGGCATTTTCCCAGATCAGCCACATCAAATGTGCTGAATGGGGCCCTAAGGAAATCATCGAGCCATTCACAAATAGGCCATGACCACGCTAAACGCTCAACGCAGACAACCACAGCTGAATCAATAGGCAGCCTGTGCCAAGCTACAGCAAATTCTTACATCAAACACATTTAGATACATAACCCAAAACCTCATGCAATCTTTTAAAATGCTTTCAAAAAGGGATTTCCTGAGAGAAGCAGTAAATCAAACTCCGTCTTTTTTTAATTCATGCATCAAAGACGGGATGCGGAGTGTTTTCTGATCTGATTTTCTGGAAGTAAGAGATGACAAATCTGTTAAATGTGAAGTAAATCATCATGAAGTCAAATTCATCTAAACCACCATCCAACATGACTACCCTAGCTAATTATAAACATAGGCAGATTTAAAAGTGGCAGTGACTCCACATGGTCTTGTTTCTCGCTTACGAGATGTTCTTTATAGCTGAAATTCATGATCCAGAACCTTATATTAGAGAAATAATCATCCCTGAGATATGGTTACACTGTTTGATATCATCAACTCGGCTGGTTGCGAGGTATTGCATTCAGTATAGTAGGTCGTGTCCTGCCTGGGCTGGCAGTGTAATCAGTACAATCTTATCCCTGTCATTCTCCTTAGCACGACTTGAGCCGCCTACACCTCTCTGATCTCTGCTCTGTGACCTGTTCAGACCTGCCTCTCTGACTGAAGGAACTTCGCAAGGAACTCTAAGGTTATAGAGCTTAATTGGGCCTTTTTAAACTACATTTTCGGCTCTAGAAAGGAAAGGAAGGTTTCTCCATGTGGTCTTTGTGTTCAAATTAGGATGACTTACAGGGTGGGATAGAAGCTCTGTGTACAGTATGCAGGTGTTGTGGTGCAGCACGGTGGTTTTAAGAGTTGGAGAAACCCTCCCTCATCTGGGAGGTCTGAGTTTGAGCCTCTGTGTCGCCAAGCATCTGCCCCAGTTCAGCTTCACTGAGCAGGACACTGAATTCCTTCCAGCTCTGCACCATGTAAAGCAGCTTTCCCAACACTTCTGGTCAAAATGAAAAGCAGTGACGAGTTCTGGTTCAGGTCGTGACGTCACCCGGACTAGCAGCTGTTCCACTAGTTTATTTAGCACAATGCAATTATTCATTGGGGGGGTGCTTTCTTTGGTCTTTCTGAAAGATTTAATTGTGTTCCTTGGTTTTAATGTTGATTTTCTAACATAAAAGAACCACCAGCTACTACAATCTGTGATTTTCAACAACTCATTTGTAACTAACTGTTCTTCCTTATCCATCATATCAATAACACTTATTTTCAATGTTTTATCTCTGCTCTCTAAAAATGTCTGTCTCTTCATAATTTGGCTTACAGCCTCCATCTGTAAAGCTGGTGCCGTTTAACTGGTGACGGTTGGCATTGTGGGGAACAGTGCTTGCAACTTGTTATAGGGATGGATTTATAGCCATCAGCCTTATTGCAAATGTCAAGGTCATTTGAATTAGGTTTTCTGACAATATGCACAGGCTCTTTATCAAATATCAACATCTTGATAGCAGCAGACATGTTTTATGACTGGCTTCAAATGAACTATTTCAGTAAAAGACACATTCCTGTACTGTAGGATTAGTGATTATGGAACTTGCACTATGAGCCACACTCAGTGACATATTACATTATTAACATTTGAGTCAGAAACACTTACTCTGGACATGGTCATAGCAAATGTTTAGATGTGGCAAAAAAAGCTGGTAGGAGCGTTGGCATGTGCTCGTCAGCAGAGTAATAATGAGAATAGAGCTGCAATTAATCCATTACTTGTCAACTATTAAATTAATCTGCAACTATTTTGATAATTAATTAATTTAATAGTCAATTTTAAGGCAAGGCATAGCAGTTTATGTATAAAGCATGTTTCATACACAATGGTAAATTAAAGGTGCAGTAGTAGCAGTTAAAAACAAGACAGCTCAAGATAAAAAACAATTCTGAAATGAAACAACCCACTTATAAAAATGAAAAAGCAAAATGAAAAAAGAGGTAAAATTAAGAAAATGAATAATAAGTAAATAATAAGACCTTAGGTTTTCAAAACATTTAGGTAAAAGCGCTTGAGAATTTAGTTTTCAGTCTGGGTTTAATGGTTGTGGCGTCCTAAGACCATCACGCAGTTGGTTACAGTGCTGTTCTGCATAGTAGCTTCTCCTTGTTTGGATTTGACCCTTGGCACCACTAGTAATCCACTCCCTAGTGATCTAAGATGTCTCACAGGCCTATATAACCCATGTATACATTTATAAACAAGTAATAAAACTTTCTTCTTTTCTTCTTCTGTAGCTTTTTGGCAACCCATGTAGAGTCTTAAGAAGTGGTGTGATGGGGGCTGAGCCTTTGGTTTTGGTCAGAAAAAAAAAAAATCTAGATTCTCTGATTTCAGCTTTCAACACTTTCTTTAGTCCGCTATGATAGTAAACTATATATCTCTGGGTTGTAGACAACATTGGAGGATGAGTCTCAAGTTACTACGGTATATAATGAGTATGAGTGGATATGAGTATTCAGCTGATAGACACAGAGCCAGCGATTGTGAAGCATGAATGAAGCAGCAGATGTAAATCAGTTAATGCTAGTGCAACTTCAGTTCTCTGTCTAAACCATTAGTTAGCTCCATTAGCTCCCATAGAGTGAACTCACTCAGGTAAATGTTATTAAACTGTGCTGTGTGGATTGTGCTGCAGTAAATTCTACTTAAATGAGCCTTTATCAGTTCATATAAATATCTGGTCCAGAGTGGTAAAGTAGGCCTACATGCTCACAGACCTTTGGACTGAACAAAGAGGATGTCTGATATGACAGATAGCCACTTCACCGTGATGAAAGGAGCCCCTTCCTCGCAAACAACAACAACAACAGCCCTCACACATCTGAAATCCAAGACATAGACAAAACAAGTGCACCCAGCGCAGTCTGTGCTATCGTTCAATCAACTGGCGGCACGTCAGAGAACAGTAAACCCAGACCAGAGGAGGACTTCAAGTTCGACTCCCTCATGTCGTCCAACTCTACCAATTCTTCTTTAACAGTGTGTGTTTATATGGGGCGCGTGTGACACCCGATCATAGTCTACATAGGCCGGATTATTCATTGAACAGGAACCACAGTTAATATACTTTCAAGACACATTCCGTCACACACAGGCAGAGAGCGTGAAATGGCTCAGCGCTAACACCCACTCACAACCTCAGAGACAAATAAAACGTGTCGATTTAGTGCAGCAAAGTGCCACAGAGAGTGAATGAATCGGAATGAGTGGGGGTTGACTTACACTACAGCCAGTGAGCTCAGTGAGTCTTTTATGGTGTTGATTAATCTTTATTGGACTGTTGTTGATTACTGATTACACATTAAGAGCTCATTAACCGTCAGCTTTTGATTGTCAGACAGGTTTTGCTGGTAGAAGATGAATTCTGGTTGTCTTTGGACCCAGGCTATGTTGGCTTTTTCTTTTCACTCTTTCCTGCCCTTTATGTTCTGGCTTTTGCACACATGTCTTGTGTATAGCTTAGCTTAGCAACAAGACTGGAAGCAGTGGGGAAACAGGTAGCTCTGGCTCTGTCTAAAGAGAAAAAAAACATCTCTAACATTCATAACAATTATGGTGGTTTTAGGGGAAAGCAAGTGCTGTAAATATTTCTTGGTGAACAAATGCGAGGAGCAAGCAGTGGTTTCCGAGTCTTGTCAATACAGTGATGACACCAGTGGTCTCAAAGAGTCAGTGCCAATACGCTCAGTTCCATGTTTCACCTGACAAAGTAGTAAAACAAATAGTCCACTCTTTATGCTAAGCTAGGCTAACCACACCTTGACTCCAGCCTCACACTTATCGCACAGACAGGAGACATGTATAGATCCTCTCATACCAATCATGAAAAGAAAGGAAATAAACATTTTTCAAAATGTTTCTAAAGCAATTTCTTTAACATATAGTTATTTTAAGTTTGGCACTTTTACAAATTCCATGTCAGGTTCTATAGTCTGTTCTATAGGACACTTTATAAAAGAGAGTTTCACATAATTTGAAATTGTCAATAGATAGAAAAAATCGAAATAGAGTACAGTGTGTTTATAGATATAAACACAGTGTTGATTAGATATTCTGTGTTAATACTGTTAAAAAAGTTTTTGATAGAGTAAAACAAACAAAATAAGATAACTTTGATTGATTCCACTGAGTTTGCCATCATCCCATCATGCCTTGCGCTGCATTATATATTATGAATATTACAGTGTATCTACACAATGTCAAGCCGTGCTGCATTAGCAAGTAGCAGCTCCTGTTTTCGCTTTTACCAGGATTTCTTCTGATAGTACAGAAAACCTATCCATTTATAACAAACAGCTATCATTTAAAAAGGTTCTGCTGATTCCAGCAAACGTCCACAATGTTTTGATTTGATTTGAGTTATGAGTCTGAGCAGGAGGGATGTGAATTTTGCGTGAAACGGTTCAAAGGGTAAATCAAGGCAAAAGAAAAACACCACCCTAAATGTCTCCATTTACTTACTTTCCTGGGTTTATGACAAAATTACAGCACTGTTGATCTTAGATAGTTAGAGGCTGCAGCTTCACACCCTTTACTTTGAAGTCCCGGCA